TGCCCTTGTCTGCAGCTTCATGAACAAGTCCAACTGAGATCAAAAGTGGAACTATCCAAACTGCCAGCCGGAAGAATTGTGTGATACTGATACTTGTTTTAAGTCACTAAGTTTAGGGTTGGTTTCCAACATAGCAAAGACTGGTAAGTCTACTGGATTTTTACTTTTGTTCTTTTTAATTCCCCACCCTCATTCTCTATGCCCCTTGGCCCCCTTATCCCTTCCTCTCAACCCAAAGAACTTTAGTTTGATTAACAGGATCTGAGTTTGTCTGTTTTGTTTCCTTGTATTGCAGAGATACATGAAAGAATGTGACATTTGTCTTTATCTTTCTGGCTTACTTCACTTAGCATCATTCCCTGAAGTTTGTTCCATTAGGCTGTAAATGGTAGCACTTCATCATGTTTGATGTCTGCATAGTATTTCATTGAACAGATGGGCCACATCTTCTTGATCCAGTCCTCTCAGTGGGCATGTAAGATGCTTCCATATTGTAAATATTATAAATGTTGTCACAGGGAACACTAAAGAGCATATAATTTTTCAAGCTGATGACTCTGTTCTTTGGATAGATACTCAAAGCAGGATTACTATAACATGTGGTTTTTCCAATTTCAGGGTTTTTGAAAGACTTTTATTTACATACAGAACTGGGGTACAGGTCAGAGGTGCAGGGAGTGAGAGGATTCACCAGAGACAGAGTGGGGAGCAGAACAGGCTGACCTACTGAAGTACACTGCTGAGGGGAGCAGCAGACAGGTCAGGAGAGGTCTGCTATGCCATGTGGGTCAGCTCTCTGGCTGGGGATTGAACTTGTGTTGCAGTGGCTTTGATAGCTTCATAGTGTTGTGCTTTAAGCCGTTGTGCCACCAGGGTGGTGCAATTTCAGTTTTTAAGATAGGTCCAGACCTCCTTCCAAATAGATCAAATATCTGGATACCATGGCCTAGCCAAGTTAACACATAAAATTAGCTGTCATGCTTTCCCCACACCACAGGCTGGAAGCTAGGCCCTGTTCTGAAGTCCTGACTACTTGGGGCCCAATAGAAGCAAGTTCAGGCCCCCACACCCTGCAGGGTGACTGGGGTGTTTTAAAGACAAGGAAGCCAAGATCTAGAAGATGGTTCCATGAGTTGGCCTCATGAGTCTTCATTATTTCACAGAAAAGAAAATCCACCCTCACCAAAAGTTCTTCTAGGTCTTTCCACCATAGCTCTTGTCCCCATCAGAGCAGGAACTCGAGAGACATAGAGGATGTTTTCATCCTCTATGTTTGTGCTTTAAGCCATTGTGCCACCAGGGAGGTACAATTTCAGTTTTTAAGATAGGTCCAGACCTATGGAACATTTGGAACATTTGGAACATTACAGCCAAGTCTGAGCCCATTCGAGCCATAAACCAAGAAGGAAATCAACTCATTTCCTGGCCAGTTCTTCACATTCCTTTCCCCCCGCCATGACCCAGAGCCTCCTACCCAGCAGAAGCAGAGATCGAACCACCAAGAAATTTTCTTTGAAAAGTGCTTTATTTCAACAAAGGTCTAAGTCAGGTGCATGTACATCTATCAAAATGTTACAGAATCCCGAGGCTCCCTACTGAGGCCTTGTCAAATTATGTTAAGATACATAAACACATCAGTTTATAAGCTCAAAATCAAACATTGAACCAGGTCATGTACCATTGCTGAGTAAGGACAGAATACTTCACAAAGCTTAAAGAAGTGGACAGACCCTTCAGACACTCTAGCAGTAGCTCACCAAAAAGAATTAGCCTAGAAAACAGATCTGCCAGGAAGACACCAAGGGTAAACTGAGGCATTCCCTTCACAGCTTATCAGTGTCTTGCGCTTGTTTAAAACATGGGGTGCACTCAAAGTGTTGTTGACAAGGTCAACACTTTCAGTTACATCTGGAAGGTGGGGTGCACAATGGTTTTCATTTTTACCCTTCTAGGAGATTATTTCTCATTTCATCTGTCTCAAGCAAGATTTTGTGTAAAATAACTTAAATGCTGCTGCTTCAAGAGGGCTGAAGGAATCTTTGTCTGCCATCTCTGTTGGTTTTCTTTGAACCCCTGAAATTCCTTTGCCCGTACAGATATTTCTTCTCCGGAGATATATTTATGGCACCATGGTCTCTAAGCTACAGAGCTTCAAAATAAGTTTCTTCTTGAGAGTTTCTTGCCCTTCTGTGGCTCATTCCACCCCCCTGATGATCTGAAATCACCACCCAAGTCTGCAGAAGTGAATTCCAGAAGTTTCTACATCAGGAAAACACACTTCTTTTTTTTTTAATTCTTTTTTTGCTGAGGTTTTTTTTCCCGGGTTGGGGAACCTTTTTTTTTTGGGGTTTTTTGGGCCAAGTTTTGTTAGGGGGGAAAGAAGAGTGAAAATATTTCTCCTTGAAGTTTCACAACCCAATCTCCACCTGGGTTCTCAGTATTTTTCATGCATATGGTAGCTTATCTGAGGTTCTCCTGCCTCAACAAGAACTCAGTGAAACCCTGTCCAGCCCAGAAACAAACCTGCACAACTCCCACCTTGGCACAGGCAAGGTGGTTATTTGTGCTTTTCAGTCCTTCCCCATGGTAACCCCCACCCCCACCCACTTAACCCATCACACCCCTCTGTGATCACAGAGCATGTGACCTTGTGCTGAACGCCTTCCTGTCAGATGGAGTCAGGTTTTTCCTCCATTTGATCACCTTGTAACATAAGCCCCTGGAAAAAGAAAGCCAGATGTGCTATCCTGCTTTTCACATGTTAGGGGGGAAAAAACCATCAACTGGCCTTTTGTTCTTCACACAATTTCAAGGTCATTGCACTCAATTACATAAACCCACACAAATCAGTCAAGTTGCTCCATGCCGCCAAGCCATGCGATACCAGTGAGATAGCTCAGCTCCACACAGTCGCGGTGTCTCATTTCAGTGCGACTTTCTCAAAGGACCTTTCCAAAATTTCTGGTCAGGTCATCAAGATGTGATCTCTGCACAAGAGGGGCCACCCATGGAAACGTGCAGCCCGTAGGAATCAGACCATGTTGTGTACGGTTCAACTTCCTCTCCCACCCACTGCCTCTTTAAAAAGCCAGGCCTACCTTAGTGTCACGCTGTTGGAGAGTATGGCATTGCCACAGAGGAATTTTGCAACATCTCCATTTTTAACACCATCCACACTAGTGCAAATTATCAAAAATTACACAAACCAAAAATAGTCGTCCGATAACAGTCTGCGGTTATAATTTGCTTTGTGGAAATTCTCCTAAGTCCCCTGACCCTTGAAGAATTACTGAGCCAACAGAGGCTTTGAACTTTCTAAATAACTAGGTGGTAAGGTTTCACTTTCTCAAACAGAAAATCTGGGCTGTCAGTCTTACTGCATTCACAAAGCTGCTGGTTCCCATCTGTAACAAAGGAAGCTCTCAGTACCCACCCTGGCTTTTTTTCCCTTCTACACACGACAGAGAAGCCCAGGGAGGTGTTTGATTAAGACCGAGGATGGATGCCCTCCCCACAGACATAGGCAGAGGAAAGACCCCTGCAAAAAGCCAGGTTTCAGCACACGCCCTCCGCTTGAAAGGCAATGAGTCTACAATTCTGAGTTATCTGAAGAGCCTGGTGAGGCCGAGGTGGGGGGGTGGGAGCAGGTAGAGAGTAGAGGGGTGTCTGAGCAGTAATGGCGCCCTCCGCTGCAAAGGTCCATTTTGCTTGCAGGTACCCGACCTCCACTGATCAGCTCTCCAAACCTTCCTTGAAGAGGAAGTGGAAAGAGGAAGGAGTACCCAGATCTCAACACGGTGCAGAGACACCTGTGAGGCGCACTGACCTGACCTGGTTATGTCCTCGGTCAGGCACCCCGCTCCCAGTTTTGTCTCTCTGCAGTCTACATCAGCCAAGCTGGTGCCCAGCTGCCCAGCAGCCTTCCTGTGGAGCCACCAGAGTGGCTGGCCCTGGTCCCTCCCATGCTGGGGACTGCTCTAAAGACCACCCAGGGGACTGCTCCAAGAAGCAAGCTTTCTCAGCCTCCTTCCCCACCCTGCCCTCCCAGGGAACCTAAAAGCTTCCTTGAACTCCACACTGGGTCAGTAGCAGGACGAGACCTCATTCTCAGGCTCCATCTTCACAAACAAGGGGCGGGCAACTGGCCCGTCCTGAGTCTAGGCAGCACAGTCTTGACCTCACACACTCAGTCTCAGAAGCAAGAGCAGGCAGATGCCTGGATGGAGAGATGAGCTGGACTCTACTTGTGCAAGGAGCCGCTACATTTCTCTGAAGAAGGAGACTTCCTGGCCACCCCCAGAACAAAGCAAGGCCCTGGCCACAAAGGGCGGCCAGGGCCTGGTGTAGACCAGCAGAGCTGCTTCATGAGGCCCTGCCTCCAACTCAAGGAGGCGCCAGAGTCGGGGTGGGCAGTCGGGCGGGCGGAGAGAAAACTAGGGTGCAGGCTCCTCAGCGGTGGCCCTGGGACAAGATGGGCAGAATCCACATTCTACAGGCAGACACACAGATCAGCACAAAGTTTCCAGTGTAAAAACGGTGGGCTTATTGCACTGATAAAGGTTTCTCTTTTTCCTTCCATGGGACCTGTCCCAAGATTGCGGGCTGCTGCTAATTCCCCTGGCCCATCTCCCTAGCCTGCTGGGAGCAGCTCAACCAGCTTCTAAGTACCCCACATGTGGGCCAGCTGAGCCCACTTCTCCTTCTAAATGTGGGTCAACAGGTGTAGCTGCTCCCTGACCCTTGAAGAGAGAAAATTCTTCTTCAATCTGAAACCGCTCTGATCAGTGATTCCGCTATTTACCTGGTGATAGGCAGCACGTGCCCTGGACTTCTGGTGCTTGTGCTGGTTACTTGGAATTTAGTTGGATGTGAAAAATATCAATTTGGCACGTGGACATGCACCTTGTGCACATGTGTGCAGACACACACACGGACACACACGTGTGCGCCCCTGTTGGGCTCTCCCTATACCAAAAGTCAAAACTCCGTAAGTGCAAGAAAGGAGGCTTGTCTGCTCCAGGCAGCATGGAGGTGGGACAGGAGTCGCAGAGGCTTGCCATTAAACGTTCCCATAGAAGGAAGGCATCCAGCTTCCACTGGGTCTTCCCACGTCAGAGGCTGCCCCTGTAGGCCTGGATCCTGCCCTCTCGTGGCTCAGATTGTTGCTGGGGTCTCAGCTATCTCCTCCAGCCTCTGCCGAATCATCAGCCGGAGCACCGTGTACCTGGAGACAGAAACAGCCACGGTGGGGCAGAGACAGCACGCACCCTCCTCAGCCTCCCTGCCACGTGGGGGACAGCATCCTGACCCTCGCTTATTCCACTGGCCCACGGTTCAGTCCCTGTGCTGCTTATATTGGTCCACAACAGGACAGAGAGGGGCTGAAGAGGCCAAATTCAAACGAGGTTATCTTACCAAGGACAGAGAATCTGGAAAAAGGAGGAGATAGTGAAATAACAACAATCAACGGGTCCGTTCGTTACTACGTGCAAGTACATAGTACTTCACATGCACAGTAACAGACACCGTCACCTGGGCTAGGCCACATGACGTTGCCATTATTTGACCACCTGAGCAGGAGTGGGGAAGCTGTAGTAACTATCTTCATATGATTCAATCTGGGGCTGCATTTTGCCACAGCAACCTGCAGGTAAGGAGGTTCATGGCTTGGGGTGAGCGCCATTTCCCCCGCCCTCCCCTGAACTATGGCTATGCCAAGACTGGGGTGGCACTGTCAGGCAAGGCTAAAGTGGCTTTGCACTGCACAGGGAAAGCTGTTTTTTAAGTTGGGCACATAGTAATTGTTCAATAAATGTTAATGCTCGTGCTAATTATTATCATCCACAAGGCAAATCTACCGTTGGCTTTATTCTTTACTGGTAAAAATTAATCGCTTGTTCTGACGTATGACATACTTGTGAAATGTGATCTAGTTTAGGAAAAACAACAAAAAGAAAAAAAAAATTGCAGCCTCTCCAAAGAGCTAGCTTTTTAACCTAAAGGCACCTTCTGAAGAGAAATGTTAAAAAGGGAGGCAGGGAAGGACGTTAGGTGTAGGTTACTCAGACTACTTTCCACTGTGATGAGAGCCTTCCCGAAACCCCCAGAACAGTTTTATGTCCCCCATCTCTCAAAATCACAAGAGAAGTGGACAACAGAAGCAGAAAGACCAAGACGCTTAAATTTCACGTGCCCATCTGAGCTCCAGATTTGTCCACGGAACGTTCCCTGAAGAAGGTCCCTAAGACCCAGCCTCCTGCAGCAGCTGAGCCCACCTCTGTAGAGACCCTGCTCAGAGCCCCCTCAGTGAGGCCCCAGGGGAACCCCACCAGCCCCCCACGGGCCAAGCTTACTTGCGCATTAGCTTCTTCACTTCCCGATCTTCTTCCTCTTGGAGTTTCTGGATGAAGCTTTTAAGGACTGGCATCTCGAACTTTATATACTGGGCCACCTGAGAAGGGAAAAGTCATTCTAGCTTGTCTGCCCCCTCCCAAATTTAGTCCAATTCCTTCTGGCATCTCTCTCATGTAAGGCACAAAGCTGTGGGATATCTACTTGTGCATACTGCAGGATTTCCTTAGGGACCAACTCTCCTCTTCCAAGGCTGGTATAGCATTTGCAATGACACATATCACCAACTTTCTCATTTTCATTTCATGTATTCAGAGCAAGATGAGGTGATGTCACACATGCAAAAGCACTTCTCTTGATTCAGTGATGCAGAGAAAGATCTGAACCCAAGATATTTAATAAACTTCTTTGTTCTCCCCTCCCAATAAGGAACCGTGCTCAGAATGATTTATATCTTAAGTCTCAAACAAACATCCAGGTGTGCACTTGCTTCTGAGAAGCTACATGAATGGGAGCATCTCTTAGGTGAGCAAAAATTTAACCGTCTTCAACCTACTCTATCAACTTTTCTCCATGGAGAAGGACAGTTTTCCAACCTATCAGTGTTGGCCTTGGTTATGTCATTTGCTTTGACCCATTGAATGGGTGTGGATTGGAATGCTATCAAATCTGAATGGAGATTTCAAATGGGCTGGCATGATTTGTTCTGATTTCTTGTAGTCTAGCCATCTGCCATGAGAAGCATAACCTGGTGGCCACTACCTCTTGAGTCTGGCTGTCTACATGAGCTATGCAATGCCTAAAGCAAAGCCACTGCTACCAGTCTGCAGAGTCCCAAGGAAAAACAGTAAATGTCTGCTGTTGTAAGTGACTAAGATTTGGGGATACTTGTTACTGCAGCAAAGCTAATCCATAAGATAAGACAAAATCATTCCTAGTTTCTCAAAGTTGCTAAGACAGAGTTAACAGAAACTTCTCAGCCTTCTTACCGTAGCCCAGAAAAGTTCAAGACATTTTATTCCACTGTGGCTGAGCATTCCTCCAAAATCCCATAGGCCTCCACTTAGCCTCTGTATTCATTCTCCCTGCTGCATGGCCATTACCGATTAAGAAAATCTGGGACTAAAGAATAGCAGCAACATGGCGCATGATCCTTGGCCAAAAGTCAAGCTAAGAATCAGCTGCAGGTACCCCAACCAAACCCCCAGCCTCCTGAGGACACAGCATTCAACCAAAGGGAGACTCACATCATAGGTGACTTCCTCCACCTGGTCCTTTTCCATGAGGAACACTTTGGAGACCTGTTCACAGGGGCCCTGGAGGATTCGGGCAATCAGTGGGTAGTCGGTATTCTTCAGCTTCTGTTTCTCTGGAACCACACATAGCCAACAACAGGGCTGAGTTCAGCCTGTGGCCCTTCTCATCCTGAGTAGTGCTCAATTCTGGGTCTCTAGGGCACCAGACACCTTAGGCAAGGCAGCCATAGAAGTCAGGAGACCAATTTATCAACAAACAATTCAATAGGTGTGGTTAAAGGTAACAAGCCCACCCCACCCCCCACTACAACCCCCACCCCCAAGGATAATAGCAAGTGGCAAACCCTTTGGAAGATGCTGCATTGCAGGAAATGGTTTTGCCCATCTCTTGAGAAAATCCTGTTCCTTTTTTAACCGACAGCTAAATTTTAGAGTTTGTTTACTGACCATAAAAGGCATATGCTCCAGTGACTTAAGTCCAGCAGCCCTGAAGGCAAACAGCCCTTGAAGTTTTCAAAACCCAAGCAAACAAGTGAATGAGACAGAGGGATTTTTTCAACTTGCTATTTTGAGCTAATTCAAAGTTTCCAAGTACACTGTGCTCTTCAGACTTACCACCACTGGTATGGACCACGTACAAAGCAAACTCCTCCGCTGAATTCTCAATCTGAATCAAGAGCCAAAGACACTCGGTGAAAGCATGCCTCGAGCTGTTCTCTCTGCTTTAACACTCCAAAGCAAACAGGTTTTAGGCCCTATTAAAGGGCGGGTCCCTTATCAACAGCTCTCAAAAGTGATGAGAAGGTGCACAAGCAGAAATTTTGTCAATAATAACAGCTCAGAAGAGTTAATATTTATTACAAAGTACCAGGTCTTCTACACATTTTACACATGTTATCTCACCTGATACTCATGATAAAATGGTAGGAAGCTGCCACTGCCCTGTTTTACAGGCCAGGGGCAGGGAGTTCAAGTAACGTGCCCAAGCATCCAGCCAGCTGGGCTCAGACAAGCGTTTAAGCCCAGCGCCTAAGCCCTTAGGCCACAGGAAACACCGGCTCCCACTAAAAGTAAAGATACCTGTCCCCTAAGGATCACAAAGGGACTGCTGAAAACAGAATGTGGTAGGACTTTTTAAATCGTCTTTCTAATCTCTGTTTCTTTTATCTCTGTTCTTATTTTTTTTTTTAAAGATTCATTTATTTGTGCATACAGAGCTGGGGTACAGGCCAGAGGCTCAGGGGCGGTGAGAGGCTTCACCAGAGACAGAGTGGGGAGCAGAACGGACAGATCGAGGAGGTACACTGCTGAGGGGAGCAGCAGGCGGGTCAGGAGAGGTCTGGCTCGCCATGTGGTCACCTCCGGGGTAGGCAGGGATTGAACTCATGCGGAAGTGGCTTTTAGCTTCTCAGTGCTGTGCTTTAACCCACTGCGCCACCAGGGAGGGCCCTCTGTTCTTATTTTTATTAGTACCTTCCTTTGGATCTTACTTGTTCCTCTTTTTCAAGTTGCTTTAGGGTTGGGAGCCAAGACTGTGTTTCTAAAGCCCCCAGGTGAGGCTGCCTTGCAGAGGGAGCACCCCAAACCGTCTGACTAGCGCCTCATCCCTCTCCACATTCCCCACTGCTGCATTTCCAGAGCCACCCCCCACCTCACCCAGGTGCACACACCACCCAACCACCCTCCTGAAGCCACCAGCAGAGGGCACTTGCCTTAAATTTGTTGAGCAGCAGCTTCAGGACCTGTGGAGTGGTCATGGTGCTGTTGATTCGAACGTTGGTGATGGAGCCGTAGGCCGGTGTAAACACGGAGGTCTGTCAACAAAGGTGTGCAGCTCAGGTGAGAGCCAAGTCAAGGACGGGGCAGTAAGACCAACAGCCCTGGGTCCATTTCCTTGAGCTGGGAGCACCAGCACGGTGGCACTTCACAGGTGCTCCTGCTCTCTGGCAGCCTGGCAGGCATCAGGCTTGGCTGTCAGTGGGCAGCCCTCAAGCTCTGCCTGAGTCAGTTCACACCCCATCATGCTAAGCTGGAGAGGACCCAGACCGCCATGCGGCCGGCTTGGAGGGGAAGAGGAACAGGTGGGACGGCAACTCCATGTACAACACACACAGCCCTTCCGTCCCAACTTCAAGCGGAGGCGGGCTCTGAGCACTCTCCCATGATGCACCTGATTTGGAAACAGGTGGCAGGAGGGAAGGGGTACCCTGCTCTGAAATCCACAGCTCTGCTTCCCTACTCGTAGACATTTATGTGGTTTCCAGTCTACTGATAGCCCTTAGCTGGATGGCAATGGGAGGCACAAGTATAGGAAGAAGGGAAGTCTGATGAGGGGTATTTGTGGCGTCATCTTAACCACCACCCTAAGGGGCTCCTGATCTGGGGTCCCTCGCCTTTCCCGGAGCTAACGAAGCTCGCAGCCCACCCCCTTGGGAATGCCCCACTCCAGCCTCTCCACCTTGTGATTGTAGAAATGGCCGTTGATGGAGAAACGGTGGCGTCTGATTCGCCGCTGGTCACTGGGTGTCCTCACATTGCCTCGGCGACGAACCCCAACATCGCTGCGTGTGCGCATCAGCTGTGGGGTGTCCTCCTGCAAAGGCTTCAGGCCCCTGGAATCTGAGAGAGAAGAGGGAAATGACTGTCGGCTGGGGCTGGGAGGTGCCAATGCTACATATGCACCGTGCCTCCCAAATATTTTATCAAGACGGTACTTCCTGACTGGGGGGAGACTAATCATAATTTTCTGAGCAGCAATATAATGAAGTGATTTCACAGAAGACCCCGTGTTCAAATTCCAGTCTACTGCTGCCATATATCACTGACTCCTCTGAGCCTCAGTTTCTTCAATCAGTAAAATGGGGCAAATAATACCCTTACTTCTTCGGGTGGCTGTGAGGGTTTAAACCGAGTTCATTCACAAAGCACTTAGAACACTGCCTGGCACAGGGTGAGTGTAAGACAAGGACTTCCAAGAGAGTGCAAACTGACAAAGTCCAAATTGCAAATGCACATCAACTCAGACCCAGCGATCCCACCCCGAAGAATCCCACAGATGCCAAAAAATGCGACATGGTCACGGACTGTAGTCTTGTTTGTCACAGCAAATGACTAGAAATGACTGAAATGTCTATCCATAGAGAGTGGTCTTTTCCATACTGTGGAATAGTACGTGTCTCAAGAGGCACAAGCATTGTATGGGGTTTGGAACCATCCTCAAGGTAAACTGATTAAGTGGTGATGTGCAAAATGTCACCACTTCTATTGAAATAGAAACGCAAGACATTGCATCCAACCCAGAGCAAACTGGTGTGTATTTGCAGAGAAGACCTCGAAGAGGATACCTCTGGCTGTTTCTAAGAAGGGAAAACGTATAGTGGGGTAGATGAGATGGCCAACATTCCATTCTTCCTTTTTACTGCATTTAATGCTTGAACTCATCGATACTTTTCTTCATACTTTTTCTTCAGAAAGTTAAGTATCACCATTTGGCATCTTTCACATCTTGCCACAACCAGCCCCAGGCTGGAGTCTCCCATCTTGCACTAACCTGTGGGGCTCGATGGCTCCTCACCCTCAGGGGGGGCATCCACCTCTGAGATCTGAATGTTGGGCATGGTGAGGGGCTTCAAGATGGTGCTGAGGGGATGAAACACAAGCAAAAGAGAGAGCAGTTCAGTCCCTAGGACAAGGACCCCTCACCATGTTCTTGCAAAGGAGCCCTTGGCATGCACCAGCTGGGGACAAACATGGGTCGGCATGAAGGAGGTGGTGGGCCATGCTGAGTGTCGTGTGAGGTTTGCCCAGCTCCTGGCTGAGCACCGAGTGGGAAGAGGGTGGGGTTCAGGAGGGAGGAAATGCTTGTTTCCAGCATGTGCAGAACACAAGCATCCCAACTCTTCATTTCCAGGATGGAGAGCCCCCAAGTACAAGCCCCCTGTACTATCTGCAGCACACAGGGGCTCTACATCTCATTGGGGACCCACTAATAATGACTATTTCTTGGGACAAGACTCCCGCTTCAGCCCATTTCTGTGGGAAGAATAACTCGGAAATTATTCCTGGCACCTAAAGGGAATGGAAAGTACTAGATTGGCGGCTATGAGAGTCAGGGCAGCTTTGGGAAGGGTGTTGACCGCAGCATTCTGGGCTGACAGGGCTGCAGGACAGGCCGCTTGGCCAAGCCAGAGAAGGCCCACAGCAGCAGTGTGACCTGAGATGTGGCTTTGCTAAGATAACTGGCAAATAACTCCTCAAAGCACACCCCAAATCAACAGAGGATTGAGCTAGCAAGGAGAATCACATTTAACAAGTTCTTGGTTGAACCCAGCGAGAAGAGCGTGGACTCTCTGGGGCCCAGTGGAGAGACAGGACTCAATTTGAGGGATCATAGTTTTAAGGAAAAGACAAAGTTGAAGAAGCTCAAAAAAAGTCCTGTTGTAGTATAAGGTGAACTTCGCATCCCAGAATGGGTCTGGTCAGAGTCTTGGGCCTGATACACTCAGCACCGGAAGCAGCCACTCCCTGCTCTGGCCGAAGCAAAAACTCCTCTCAGCATCGTTGTTTACACAGTGGTCCAGCAGCTGGGAGGACATTATTTACCATTTCTGAAACCCCTCTCAGAGCATTTGCAGTCTAAAAATCAAGCAAGACCACCTTGATGCCACAGGGAGGAACGAGGAAACCAGCAGGCAGCGTGAAGGGCCCTTCACAGGCCCAGCCCAGGGCCATGGAGCACACGGAGCTGTTATAATCATCTCCCTTAATAAGTGGAATGAAACGGGCCGGGGACAAGGCCGGCTGGTGGAAAGGGTTTGGCGCACTGAAAGTCCAACGGATCTAAGTGCAGGGAGCAAAGCAGAGTGGGAAGCCCGTGAGCTCAGGTGAAGTCGGCGGAGCTGCACAGGACGTCCCACGTCCGAGAAGATGGGCCAAGGCGCCTCTAAATTCCCTTGGAAAGAAACCTGATCCAGCCAGGGTTTGGCCGCCTTGCAGATTCCTCTGGAGTTCAGAGAGAGAATGGGCTGTGGGGTGTTTCACACAATGTTCAAAGTGGCCTACAGAGAGGGCTTGGTTCTCATTTAAAACAGAACAAACATCCCTGTGGTTTTGGCGAGTGTCAGCACGCCCCACCCAGGCTGTGGCCCGAGGCAGCATCAGCAATTTCGGGGTGGAACAAGGCTCGTCACTTGATCCTGAAAAGTGGAGTCCCAGAAAGATGGCGAGAAGGGCGTGCAGTCCAGGACACATTCCGCTACTCATCTGGCCACCATGATGGGAGGGGAGCGGACGGGGCCCCCACAGGCGTGCCGGGGATGTCCTGCAGAAGGCACCTTCCAGAGGGACTGTAATGTTGTCTCTGGCTCCAGGACGGCCCGAGGGAGCAGCCCCCTGGCTGACCTCCCTTGGCTGGCTTGCACCTGACATTCTTTTCCCCCTTCTTGAGTCTCCCCGACACAGAAAGCTTTGGTGAGGTTGGGCTCTAATTGTCTCCAGAACAGGGTCATTCTATGAGGAGGGCTGAGGAGGGGGGTGTGGACAGGGAGTTGCTAGGGCACTGAGTCAGAAAGCTGCAGCTGGGCATGGCTGACCACTAGCAATGCCCACTTCCCATGGAGGGCACTGGTTCACCCAGGTTTTGCTTCCCTGAGTCCACCCCACCCCACCCCCACCACCTCCCTCTGACCATCACTCAGGGACAGGCACGGAGGCCTGGTCCTACCAGCACCTGCCCTTCTCATCCTAGCGTGGAGCAGCAAGCAGCATAGGTAGTGGGAAGGGAGGACCAAGGCCGGCTGGCAGCAGGTGACATGTACCTGCTTGAGAAGCCCCAGTTGCCACAAGTTCTCTGTGACCTCACTTACCCCTGTGCTCCCAAGTTGCAGCCGGAGTGCCAGGAGGAAGAGGACGGAGGGGGGCGGATGCGCTCGTGGTCATCCTGCATCTGCAGACGAATGGGCCGGCGCAGCCCCCAGGAGATGTTCAGCAGTCCTTCCACGATGAGCTCGTCTTCCTCCTGCCCACAGAGCCACGGCAGTGAGCCCGGAAGGGCCCCAGAAGCCAGCTGACACACCCAGCCGCAGAGTGGAGACAGCCCCCCAGGCCTCACTCCAGGTCTGAGACCCGGGAGCTGGCCGCACAGGCCAGCACAAAAGTGGACTGACATGCAAATTAAATTCAAATGTGAAATTCTAAACATTGAGTTGTATCCTAATGACTTGAAAGAAAGAGGAATCCACCTCCTAAAGTGAGTGACACGAGACTTGCCAACAGAGGCAAGAACTAAATTCTTGAATTAGCTGCCCCTCCCTTACTGTGGAGAGGAATGTGTCTTTAGTCATAGCATGTGTTTAGCAACGGGGCCTGATGGAAGGAGATTGAAAGCCTCATTCCCCCAATTTGTTTTCTAGCAAATCAACTGTTAGACCTTTAAAAAAAGTGCTGAGGGATCATAGGTTGGGAGACGTTGTGTTAATCAGATTTCTTTTTTTAAAAAAAGGTTTATTTATTTATGCATACAGAACTGGAGTACAGGCCAGAAATGCAGGGGCAGTGAGAGGCTTCACCAGAGACAGAGTGGGGAGCAGAACAGGCAGAACGATGAAGTACGCTGCTGAGGGGAGCAGGGGAGTGCTGCCATGCCATGTGGGTCACCTCCCTGGCAGGATCAAACTCGTGCTGAAGCGGCTGCAGCGAACTTTGCAGTGTTGCACTTTAACCCGTTGCACCACCGGGGAGGGCCCCAATTAGATTTCTTAACAGCAGAACTTCCCAGAGTATATAAGATAATGTGCTACAATCAGAAGTAAATAAATTCTTCAAGAACTCCAAATTTATACCCAAGGGGTCGTTGACTGAGAAGGGGAATGTGAAAATGCTTCTGAAGGCGAAGAAATGCTTCTGTGCAAAGAAATGGATCTCAGTTATGACTGTGAAATTCTTACTGTCAAGCATTTGAGTATTCTACAGGACATACCTCAGAAAAGCTGTTTAAAGACCAAAATCTTAATGGCCCAGCCACTGATTAGTACGAGCTCTGAGGACAAGCCCTAAAAGAGATTCCTTTCCTGAGTTTCAGGAAAACCTCTCTGAACCCAAGTTTTATGTGCCAAGGTCGCATCTTCAGGAGAAGCCTCCTGGGTGATGATGACACCTGTTGGTTGAACAACTAACCTGGGTTCCAGGATCACCCTTCAAAAGGAAGGAGAAATAAAAGAAGGCAGGAGAGGAGTGAAGCAATTTTGGGAATCTGGAATCTTGGGGAGAAAAGCTGTGTGTCAGTACAGACACACAGCTAGGTCTTCTAGCTAGGCAAGGTTAGCATCATATTTTACATTACATGATCACAGGACAGAATTTAACCTAAGTCAGACTTTAAGTGGGAGTGGTTCCCACACATTATCCCCTACCAACCTGCCTTAGAAGCTGAAATTCCACCATCTGCTATCCATTTCTACGGATTAAATCACCGTGGCTCGATAACCTAAAAATGTCTTTAGAAGGGCATCACACATGCCTTCTTATCAGTCAAGTACACTTGAGTATAAATTACTCCACCAGGCTCCTCTATAACTCACCATCAGATAACACGCCTTACAGAAATGGATACAGGATGAGTAAGCTTAGATTCAGGATGGGGGCTGGGGAGAGGCAGATGGATAGCAAAGGCTCTCCAAGAAGGCACCCAGGGAGGCTGCTGCAGTGGTGGAGAAGGACCAAGTAGCATCATCTAGAGCTTATGCAACTTTCCCAGTGACTACAATGGGACACAGGCCCAGATGTGTAAACATCAAGCACTAGCTAAGATTTCTGAGTTGCCTAAGATGCCCACTTGAGAGTCATCAAAGGGGTCCGCCCACAAGAGCCTCCTTTTGGTGAATCCCCACTTGGAGACACTAGTCCAGCCACACATCACCAGTATCTCTGGGGAAAAAAGTCCATGTTTCCAAGGGAAAAAAATGGACCTGGGGTCTCCTTTCAAAGAACTCCAAGGATGCCCACTAACACTTCTAATGAGAAACCACTCACTGTAGCAGGAAAGGGAGGGAACTCCTAGAACCTCAGGACCCCAGACCTAGGACATATGAAGACAAAGACAGGGCTGGGGCGTCACGGACAAATCTCAACAGGGCTTCCCTGGGGACTGCTTACCTCACGATGTCGAAGCTGCAAATTCTGGCCTTCATAGTACAAGTTGTAGGTCTTCAGATGCAGAAGAAGTTCATTCCTAGGGGTGAGGAGGGTGGGGGGAGAGAAGAATACAAGAGCTGTATTCTGACACTCTCAGCTCAAGTCACTTTATGCAGTTTTCCCTCTTTTTTTCCCTCTAACCTGGCTTTTAGCGGCTGCAGACCTGGAGTCTATCCATACTTGTGTCCATACACACACACACACACACACACACACACACACACACCCTCTCTCACTATCCCTCATCATCAGCTTCCCCCGGGGCAAGATCAAGAATAAGCACCTCCCGTGAACAGACTGAACGCAAGGAGTATCCAGGCAGGTCTGGTCAGGCACTGTAGGCCAGCAATTCCAACGACACCCCCAAGCCCAAGCTGAGCCAGCAGGCCTTTACTGGTCACATGGTCACAGAGGCAAAGACACCTCAGAGCCACAGGCCTGGCTCTCCCGCCACCCCACAGCCTTTCCGCCTTCACACATGCAGTGAGCTAGAGAGCACAATCACGACAGACCTTGACGGGACCCAGAAATCGCTGGGCTTTTCAGGTTAAAAGGGGCAGGTCTGGGCCCTACCAAGGTATGCTTTGATGTGGGCTTATGTTTAAAAATCTTTATCAACAGTGGAAGGATGAATAAGGGCAGGGATAGTCACAGAATGGAAAATTCTACAGCCGTGGGAATATGGGCAAACTGCATCTAAGATGGAAGACCCTCCTACACATTACACTGGGTGAAGAAGTCAGACTTGAAAGAGCCCAGGTTGCATGATTCCATTATATAAAGTTTAAAGTGAGAGAATTCAGGAGAGTGGTTCACTTTGCGGCCCAGTGACTCGGATGGCATGAGAGGGCTTCTGGGCCCTGGCAATATTCTATTCCAGGTGCCTTTATTTTATTGCAGTTTATGAAAACTAAAACACCACCTCGCAAAATGCCTCTCTGGCCTGATGTCCGGTCTTTGTTGCAACCTAGTTAAACGAGCAGGACTCCACTGTGAACAATCCCTGGGGTAAAACAGCATGTCCTCAAACTTAAAATTTAGAAAAGTCAATTTTCTAACTAACTCAACCCCTGCCACTTAGCCAAAAAAATCTGACTTGGAGAGATTTTGGAGCATATAAACCAATGAAACACACACCCTTCTGCTCAGGCACAACTGTTAGGCAGGACCCCGTCAGCCAGGGACACGAGCCTGTGGACTCCCTGACAGGAGCAGGCTGTGAGCAGCCCCCACCAATGCCACCTCAAGGAAGTCCTCCAGGATAGCAGCTCTTTCAAGTCTCCAGAGGTGCTGTGTGTTGAAGCCCCTGCCCCTCACACTCTGGTCAGGCTCTGGGAGCCTGTTTTTGTACAGAGCAGCAATCTGGTGAATGCTCTCACCAGCACGCTCAGCTGTTTAGCTCTACAGAGTCCGGGCTCCCTCGTGCACAGAGGCCCGCAGACAGCAGTACAACAGCAGCTCTTACTTGGAGATGAATTTATCTTGTCCGCACGGAACTAGGGAAGTTTGGTGACTGTAGTCCATGCTTCCTTTGTCTTTTCATTAGAAGAGGCCTATATTGGAGATGAGAAGACAGAAGTTAAAGTCAGATTGTGTCCTTAGGGACTCACAGACCTTGGGGTGGAAGGGGCACAGAGCTCGATGATATGCTCCCTGTCCTCACCCCAGATCCAAAGCTTGTGCAGCCACTACAAGCTGTCTCAGGCAAGTGAGACGCCACACGGCGGCCTCTGTTTCCACCACCTCACTCAACAGAGACAGGACCACCCGCGGGCGGCCCCGGGACAACTGCCCTGCGACAGAGACAGACAGCCAAGGCCAGTCTCCCCGCTGATCCCTAAGTGCTCCGGGAGGGCCCGTCAGGACACACCAGAGAGACTGGCGGGAAGCTCAGACGCCACTACTGCGCTTGGTGAACCACCGCACAGCACCCAAGCTGAGCTGCAGGCGCCACCTCCCAGCAGGGCTCCAGAGTTGCCATTAAAGTATGAAAATGGAAAAGCTCTTTAATTATCTGGGAAATGACACTTTATTATGAAAATGCAGGCTATAAAATGATGAGTCTGACTTCATTTAAAATATATTATCTGGCCCTCCCTGGTGGCGCAGTGGGTTAAAGCACTGCACTAAGAAGCTAAAGCCACTTCAGCATGAGTTCGATCCCCGCCCTGGAGGTGACCCACATGGCGTGGCAGACCTCTCCTGACCCGCCCATTGCTCCCCTCAGCAGTGCGCTTCGTCGATCTACCTGTTCTGCTCCCCGCTCTGTCTCTGGTGAATCCTCTCACCACCCCTGCGCCTCCCATTTGTACCCCAGTTCTGTATGCATAAATAAATAAATCTTTAAAAAATATATAAATCAGTGGAAAATATGCATAAATGCATTTCTTAGTCAGGGCACCACTGACTTTTGGGGTTGCACCCCTAGCCTCCACCCTCTAGATACCAGCAGCACAGACTCTCCACAACAATCAAAAATGTCCCCAGATATTACCAAGTGTTCTGTGGGGGCTAAAGTGCTTCTAGTTGACACCCCCGCTATATGTACAGACAAACACAAGTGAACGAAAGGCTGGCTCTCTGTGGGTAAGGACACTACCAGCAATTTTTTAAAGCAGTTCATCATGTTTGATGAAGTACATCTGCTTCCAAATGTAAAGTTGATGAAATATGGTGATGAGTAGCCATGTGCCTAAGGCTTTTCTACTCTTATCATTTTAATATCCTTACTTCATCACACAACTGTCCATGCAAACCTCCCTTTAACTACTTGACAATCTTTCTTCTTGTCGATGCATTTCAAAGTAAATTATACACAAAAGAAGTCTTAGCAAATTTAAGATGATTGACATCATACCAAGTATCTTTTCTCATTTTTAGTAAAAAACTTAAAATCAACAGCAGAAAGAAAACTTGAAAATTCACAAATATGTGAAAATTAACACATTCATGAGATATCAAAGGGGGGAGGGGCATGTGGATAAAAAAATATACTGTGGAATATTACTTGGTCACAAAAAGGAGGAAAGCCTGCCACTTGCAATAAAACAGATGGATTTTAAGGATACAGTGCTAAGACAAAAACAAGTATGATATGATTTCACTCATGTGTGGAAACTAAGAAAGCCAAACTCATACAATCATAGTAGAATGTTCATTACTGAGGGCTGGGACGTAGGGAAAGTGGAGAAAAGCTGATCAAAGAGCACAGACTTCTGGTGAAAAGATGTCTAAGTTCAGAGGACCAGTGTACAGCACAACAACCACAGTAAGAAAACAGCATCAAAACCCAAAAGTTGCTAGGAAAACCATTCTTCAATGTTCTCTCTATATCCACCAATTATGGTAATGAGGTGAAGTTACAGAGGGGTTACCTAACTGTATCTTGGTAAATGTTGTGTAGCACGTGTATCAAATATCACATTGTACACCTTAAACTTACACAATGTTCTATCAATAAGGCTGGAAAAATATAGTTCTTGTTAAAAAAAAAATAAAATAAAACCAATGACAGACATCAGCGATTTCCCCCTTCGCTTCAACATCCATATCACTGACCTCAACATTTGTTTGCAGTTCCAATGGTCTTTAAAGTCTTTCCCTTTAAGCTCGCTGCCCTGTTCTGGACTTTGCACAAGTATGCGACAAGAAGACATGGCACAACTTGGAGCCAAAGGCGCTAGCTAGGAAGACGGCTTGCAGCGAGAGAGGCACGGGAAGGGCCGTGGGAAGAAAGGGGTCCTTTTCTGTCCCACGGGGCTTGGGGTGGCCACAGATGATGGTGCAAACCAACAGGGGGTGTCCAGAGGCTCAGGCACTCAGCAGGACGATACCCGGCCCTTCCCCTGAGCCACTGATGAAGGAATTGGAGAAGCCGATCGAGGTTAGGAAGAGGGTAATGGGTAGACACTATGCATGGCACAGTATGAAATCCACACACACACACACTGTTTCTGAGTTAATTTTCCAGCCCAAGGCCGCCTCTGGATGAGTCCGGGGGGTCAGTGCTATCACCAGACTCAGCACACTGGTCCAGGTACCCAGAAGGGTGGCAGGGAGCCCAGGGCAGACATCACCAGCTCCTGGCAGCGGTGAAGGCCAGCTTACTGCCCAGCCACTGTCTTTGACTCACTATGAAAAGCCAGCTGGAGATGAAATACGATGTGGTTTCTTTAGGGTGTTAACCTGACAGATTGCCTGCTGCCTGGTTAAAGCATACCTAACGATTCAATTCCTATCCCCACTTTATTGGCATTTGGCGGTGACAGAGGCGTGAGCTCCGGACTTCCAGTCGCTAGATGATTCCTAACAGAAGCAACAGCAGCCCGTGGCAAGCAGGACAGTGTTTTCCAAAGGCTGGGAGAAAGTCAGGGTTACATGAGCGGGGTCAATGTCATCACTGACTCTTCAAAGTGGATCAGAGTGGAAAGGCAGCCCACAGTGTGGGAGGAGATGTTGCAGACAAATCTGGTAAGAGATTAATGTTCAAAATATATAAAGGACTGTTATCACCCAATGACCAAAAAAAAAAAAAAAAAAAAACAAGCCACCCTGTAGACACATGGGCGGTGAACACAGGAAAAGACAAATCCTGGATATGTCATTTATCTGTGGATTATAGAGATGAAGCAAAGGGTCAGCCAGAACCAAACCAGTAACTAACACCAGAAATGATTGTGGAATTGAGGCTGAAAGACGGGGAAGTGGGAGGTGCGAAAACCAAGTGGGGAGGGGGCTCAGTGGACTCTGGTGAAGAACTGTGGGTACCTTGTCAGGGGACAGTGTGATGACCTGCATTGAGGAGGTGTGATCCTGGGCCCCTGAATCACACGCCATGTAACCCAATGGCACCTCGATTTAAAAAGAAAGAGAGAAGGAGGAAGGAAGGTGGTAAGGGAAAAAAGAGGGGGAGGTAAGGGGGAAAAGAGGGGGAGGGAGGGAGGAAATAGGGGTCAAGACCTTGAACAAAATTTCTCAGAAGAAGTCATAGCCGAAGAGCAATTGAGAAGATGCTTGACATCCCTAGTCATTCAGGAATGAAAATCGGAGCCACGTGAGATACCGACTCACACTCATGAGGACGTTACTGTCAAGCAGAGAAAATCACAGTGTTGGGACAAGGTGGAGAATCAGGAACCGGTGCTTGCTGCTGGGTACAAAGGGGATAGCTGCTGGGGAGCCCCCGTGGGGGCACCTCCAAATGTAAGCACAGAATTACCACAAGGTCCAGCCATTCCACTTCTGGGCTTATACCCCAAGGAACTGATGGCAGGACTTCAAAATTTTCTTTGTGAAAGCAGGGACATGAAGAAACAGCTGTACCCCTCTGTTCATAGCAGCATTCACACAAGAGCCAAAAGATAGAAGCCACTCAAGTGTCCACCCAAGGATGCATGGACTCACACCCCTGCAATGCCATAGGCCGACAAAGAGGAAGGAAGTTCTGACCCACGTGGTTGACATGGGTCAACCACGAAGACACTCTGCTGAGTCAGCCACTAACAGGCAGAACTGACATTTCACTGATACACTTAGGTGCCTGGCTCCAGAGACAGGTGTAGGATGGTGGTTGCCAGGGGCAGGGGGTGGGGGCAGAGTTATGGGTACAGAGTTTCACTTCTGCAAAATTAAAAGAGGTCTAAGGCTGAGGGTGAGGGGCGCACAGTGTAGGGACTGCTTTTGTGCAATTTGCCACAAACTTTAAAGAAATGGAAGAGGGAGGCAGAAAAGTCAGGGAAAGGGCTCAGCCCCACTGCTGGCTTTGAAACTGGAGGCAGGAGCACAAGCCCAGCAATGTGGGGACCTCTAGAGGCTGCAAAAGAGAAGATAGATCCATTCCTGGGTCCCCGATATCCTGCTTTTAGGCCAGTGTCAGACCTCTGACCTACAGAGCTGTCAGCTAATTACACCCATGTGTTTTCAAAGCCACTTGTTTTGGTCATTTGCCATAACAACCACAGGAAACACACACACAAAGGTCCTCCAAGGAAGGGCCTTACGCTGGGGGGAAGTGGTGGGTTGAGTTCATTCATAAAATTCATAGTGTGTGTACCTCAAAGAGCCACGCTCTCAATTTCAGTTAAGAGTTAATCTCTCAATTTTCTTTGTTTCGTCTTTTCCAAAAAGTTAACAAATGACTAAAGTTGGAGTACATGTGTGCTGGCAAAAAGGGAAGAAAATCAGACATGTGAGAAAGTTTTTTCTAAGTAGTGATTACTTATAACTAGTGAGTAAACATTTTTTTTTAAGATTTATTTATTGATGCATACAAGAGCTGGGGTACAGATCAGAGGTACGAGGGATGAGAGGAGGATTCACCAGAGACAGAGTGGGGAGCAGAACAGGCAGATCGACGAAGTCCACTGCTGAGGGGAGCAGCGGGCGGGTCAGGAGAGGTCTGCAGCGCCATGGGGTCACCTCCGGGCGCAGGCGGGAATCGAACTCATGCGTAAGTGGCTTTAGCTTCTCAGTGCTGTGCTTTAACCCGTTGTGCCACCAGGAAGGGCCTCTCGTATCATTTTTACATAATCTCCATTTCCTTATTTTCCTCAGG